GCAAGTTTCTTTACGCCATCTGTCTCTGTCTACCCACCAGTAATTGGAAACATGGATGTTAATCGATTTATTGATCACGTTCTAGCGAAGTGTTTTGCTTATGCAGTTGGCGAGTTGTCCGGTCTTCTCGGGTTAGACCTTGACACTGGGTCATACAGCTCGTTAACTTAGGGTGTGGTTGTTGTGTTGGCAACACCATCTACATTCTACATACACAAACTCACACCTAGGTGGCCCAGGGGCCGGCCAGCGTCGAACAGGGCAACCATTATCACAAATGTGTATATGTAATCTAAGTGTGTATGCATAGGCCTACATAATACACATGTACGTACGTATGTTCATACTCGAAAATATTTACTCATATGTATGTATTTGGATGATCGCAGTATGTGCGCATATAAATATATGTTTACATATATTTATGTAAGGTATGTCTAAATTTGGGTATAGTCATAAATATAACATGAGTGATTCAGAACAGGCACACAAGGTAGACTTTTTTCTAACACGAGAGATTCAATAAACTTAATGTGTTACTTTAATACGAAATTAATCATGACTGGTGAGTGGTGACAGAGCCTTCACTAGATAACATGTGGATGTATAAAGATCCTTCTGACACAGGTAGACAGATACCAGAAATAATGTTATGGAACTGGAAGATTATTCAATTTGTAATAAGACACTAATAACATTATCTTCTCTTGTGCATGAACCTTTGTCCTGCGTGACAGTAAACAATAACAACATCCTCAGTGCCAAGACCTGCCTGAACCACTCACACAAAACTGAATTCCAATTTTGTCAATAAAGTTGTTAAACTGGAAGTGACGTATGTCTTGAAACTTAGTGGGGCTTGAGGCGTGTAACTTTGACTGATGATAAAATACATTTGGGACTTCCAGAAATGCTCTAGGGACGCTGACTCGTATAACAAGATGGCGCCCATCGATCAATCAGAACTTTTTTACTTCACATTTCCGTTTATGAAAAAAAGCGTATGTATAGTAAGAACACCGTGTATACTGTATATTCATAAAGCAAGGCGAAATTATTGTTGTTATTATTATTATTATTAATATTATTATTATTATTATTATCAAAACTGCTACTACTACTACTACTACTACTACTTTTCTTTTATTTTCAAATAGCCTCCAGCCTCCCCCAATAGCCACACCTTCGCCACCATTTAATTACCTTAATATTAAATATTAATATTAAATATCCTCCCCACTACTACTACTACTACTACTACTACGTAATAATAACTACTACTACTACTATTACTGCTACTACTACTACTACTACTACTACTACTACTACTACTACTTAGTTTGAACAGTAAACAATGAAACTGTAGGACATTGTGAAACCTTACTATGATAACACTATACAATTTTGGCAAGAAAGAAGCCTGGTAACTTCTCCTAACACTGTAAACACACCAAATATAACGATGCTTACGATGATCTAATGGATGATGGCGCAAGGTTCTCCACACTTGTTTAAATCCCTGTTGTTTCCACGTTCATCAATAGTAGTGACATCCCTAATAAGCACATACATACATACATACATACATACATACATACATACATACATACATACTGACCACTGAAGAGCTCTCTCTATTGGTGGATCTTAATGATGTCACTGGGTTAAAGCTCTCCCTCAATGGCCAATTTATAGTCGTTTCCGTACCGTGTTACCGCTCGGACAAATAAGGAAGGAGTTTACAAACCACTTTAGACCTTATTGGCTGACTGACGGCTGTGTCCTATACCAACAGATACCAATGATACAGGAGAATACAGTATACGGAATGTTTAAGGTGGCGAACCAACAACTATATCTTGACGTGTTATTGCCGGAACCAATCAGAAAGGACTTTACAAACGATTTAGGCATCAATCTTGTCAACATATCAAAGTAGAAGTAAACAAAAGAACGTGATATTTCTCAGTGACATATATTTACGATGTTTGTTCAGTTCTAGTGTGTTGATGTAAAGGCTTCAAGAACAGCAGAAAAGCCGCCAAAGAGAGGAATTATCACGTGTCTCAAGTGAGGTAAGGTGAGGTGATGGATTATATTGGTAGAGTCTGTGTTTTATTACGTTGTTGACCTGTTGAGGAGCGTGTTGACAGGTCTCTCTCTCTCTCTCTCTCTCTCTCTCTCTCTCTCAACACCACAACCTCACAAAGGAATATTTTTACCCAATTAACAACACCAATTACTGAACAATTAGTACATTTTGTACTAAGTAAACAAGTTCCATTTTTTTGCTGCTAAACCAAAGGTCAACACAGAATCCAATTATGTTATTCAAGCCGTCATTGTTCCTGTATTTTGCTGCCCTTCTATTGTGATTTCTGTATTTACTGTATGTGAAGCTTTTACTGTGATTCAGGGGCAGGTACGTAAATCACAGGTACTCATATGGATAGAGAAATATCTAAGGGTCAATATGTAAGTAAAAGTGCAGATACAAAAACATATGCTGATAAAACTACAGATACGGTCTACAGATACAAACAGGAAAACATTCAAGTACAGGTATAGGTACAGCTACAGATATAAATGCAGATAACTTATTCAGACTGAAGTATAGGTAGAGATAAAAGTACAGCTGGTACATATACAGGTACAGATACAATTACGGGTACAGGTGCTTCAAAGTGACAACAGTTCACTAACACTCTTCAGAGTCGACATACTGTGCTTTATATTGTAATGTCATCTTGTACCAGCGATATTTTTGTTCATGAAATTTTGTTCAGGCGTATTTTTCACTGTTATCTACTGTTTTTTCCCCGTTTTCATTGTGTTATTCTATCCTTGAGCGGTGCACGAGAACCGGGATGAACACTTGTTTTGGAAAAATCTCTCTCTCTCTCTCTCTCTCTCTCTCTCTCTCTCTTGAAAATCCTCAAGGCCTCTCACGCAACACACACGCACACTCAAGAAGAGAGAAAGAGAACAATTGATTCAAAGACAAAAAGAGCACATGCACACACACACACACAGAGAAAAGTCTTAGATGCGTCCTTCGTCAATTAAACTTTGTCAGGGTACAACATCCTGCAGGAGTAAGTTAAGTCTCTTAGGGCCCTATCCTAACGTCATCCGATTTCCTCATTACCTGAAATATCCCCACTCATCCCCCTCACTACACCCCACTCATCCCTCTCACTACACCCCACTCATCCCTCTCACTACACATCACCCCACTCATCCCTCACTACACCCCACTCATCCCTCTCACTACACCCCTACAAGTTCCTCACGCTAAACCCCACTCATCTCTCATTACATCCCCACTCGTTCCGCCTCAATACACCCCACTCGTCCCTCTCAGTACATGTAACCCCATTCGAACCTCTCACCACAACCACCACCCCCTCTTACTCCTTCACCTCCATTATAATGCTTAATTTAACATCTACAACTCTCATTCCAATAAATTCCTCCTCCTCCGAAAATCTTAACCTCCAACCTCCAAAAACTTTTTCCTTCACCGAATATCTTCACCTCCAACCTCCAAAAACCTCCTCCTCCGAAAATTTTAACCTCCAACCTTCAAAGATCTCCTCCTCCGAATATCTTAACCTCTAACCTCCAAAAACCTCCTCCTCTGTGAATCTCAACCTCCAACCTCCCCTCAAAAAACCTCTTCCATAATCTCCTCAACCCCACAATAACCAGAGCCTGAATTCTGAGAGGTATGTAACGATTATTGCTCCCAAACTAATTGGAAATGTAAGAGCAGATCTAATTGGCATACTTAAGCCTCAGCACAAAGATAGATTCTCAAAACTTCTCTGGATAAATGATCTCTTAACTGCATGGACAGGTGGGAAACTATTTAATTGCCTCGTTGAAATTAGAGCAAAAATTCTCTCTAGTGTGTTTTCTTTATTCCTTCCTTCTATTCGGTGTTTCCTTTAACCTTTCCTTCTATTTAATGGTTCCTTTACCCCTTCCTTCTATTTAGTGTTTCCTTCATCGTTTCCTTCTAGTTGGTGTTTCCTTTACCCCTTCCTTCTATTTAGTGTTTCCTTTACCCTTTCCTTCTATTTAGTGTTTCCTTTACCCTTTCCTTCTATTTAGTGTTTCCTTCATCCCATCCTTCCATCTTTGGTCTCCCCCCCCCCGACACCCATAGCTGAACTAAACGTACACGCTTTTTTGTGCCAATCTTTCATCTCTCTCCCATGCATGCAATTATATCCAGATCCATACTTTCTTCACTTCCACATGTCCTCCTAACCTAACCTAACTAAAGCTAACCTACCCTAACCTACCCAAACCTAAGCCCTTCCCCGCCCCGTCCCTTGATATATTGCTCTCAAATACTTCATATATTTCTGCCTATAATATTTTTTCCTCTTCCATCGAGACGCCATGCTTTACACCCGTACAATCCTGTTAGTTCATTGATTCCTTTTCCTCTTACATTCTGACTGTATGCTTTTCACTCATATACTAATATAGGTCAATAATTCCCCTATACATCCACACATTTGCCTCCTTTGACACGGCTCCCCCTCCTGATATATTCGTAAATGCATCAATTAATTTTTTTATCTCCAATACTGTGGTCCACATGTTCACACCTGTCACAATAAAGTTCAGGTACTGTATTGAGTACACATGTGCAGCTTTGCAGTAGAGTAATGAGCTACATAAGTGGGTCTATAAATACATGAGTTACATAAATGTAGCTACAAAGGCGTGAACCACGTGCCTGGAGCTATAAAGATGAGACTTATATCATTGGAACTATAAAATACAGATAAGTTGTTTATATCTAGAGTTAATTGGTTCAGTAATGAGCTGTGTAACTTCAGCTCTAATGATCAACATACCTGTAACTACAAAGGTTTAAGATAAACACCCGGAGTTATGAAGGTGTGCTCAACATACCTTAGGCTTTAAAGGTGTGAACAACAAACCTGCAGGTGCAGGAGGCAATAAAGATGTGAGTTACATACCAGGAGTAGCAGGGCCCTGATCCTCCCAGCTGTAGGTGGAATCCTTGGTGTATTCACATCCAAAGGAAGACCTCCGGGTCCTGTAAGCGTCGTAGGCTGTGAGGTAGTCCTTCCTAAGGCTGAAGGACCCTTCCCTAAACAACTTAGGATGAGGGTCATATGGCAGAACCTCGTATTTGGGCCTTTGAGAGCCTCCTGGCGGCCTGGTAGACTCCTCAGGAATCTCCACAGGATCGTCTGGGGACTTTGTGATACTAAATCTGAAGCAAGGAGGAGGATTGTTATTAGCCTCTTTCTTCTGCTGTTGTTTCTTCTTGATGTATGATGGCGTCTTGTTATTATCAGGTCTATGGAGAGGGCATTCTATCTGTAGACTCAGCTGCTCCCTCCTGTTCTTTCTGCCGCCGTTCCCGCTGCTGCCACTGCCGCAGGATGGTCGCCGCAGCTCGACCCGCGGCAGTCTGGGCTGGGGAAAGTCTTCAGGGGTCTCTAGGTCGTATGCTTGAGTCCTTATGAAACGTCGGTCAGTTCTAGTTGATGCTGGCGACCTTGGCTGTGTGAGGAATTATTATTATTATTATTATTATTATTATTATTATTATTATTATAATTATTATTATTATTTTTATTATTATTATCATTATTACAGTGTATTATTATTATTATTATTATTATTATTATTATTATTAATTATGCGCAAAATTAATGAAAATATGACTATTATCTTTCTATTTCGTTTCACTCTCCCTCTCTCCAGTCATTATCTTGACAACCTAAAATCTCAATAAGACTAATCTCTCTCTCTCTCTCTCTCTCTCTCTCTCTCTCTCTCTCTCTCTCTCTCTTTCCTCACCAAAGAGTCATCGTCTTGACCACCTCCTCCTCCACCCTCAGTAAGAGTGACATCATCCTCGAGGTCTTGAGAGTCACTTGGGGGGAGTGGGTGTCTGCGGGAACTCCCCCACCTGACCATCATTGTCAGGGTCGAGGACGAGGACCTGGAGGGCGACGACGACGACGACGAGGACGAGGACGATGAAGGCGACACTGGAGGTTCGTGTCTCTTCATGGTTATTTCAGCTCTGGAAGACGAAAATATGTGTGAACAATTAATGTTTTTTTTTACTACATTTACACTGATATACGTACCTGTATGTATGATATTATATGTTAATACTATACTACTACTACTACTACTACTTAAACGTGCTACTACTACTGCTACTACTACAACTACTACTACTAATAATAATAATAGAGCTGACACACCACACATTAAATAATACTCCTGTAGATGTGAAGAATTCTATTGTGCTTAGTCAAGAGGATACAAACTTTGACAATTCAACACCAATACTCAACACAAGTCTAGAGAACCTGATAGGAGATCTACAAGACAAATTATGTATGGGTTACAGACACAAGTTATCCTTAAGTAGAGACCAAAATATCAACAGACAAACACACAAACAGCCACAGTACACCTATGGCCAAAACTAGGCGATAGGTGAAATTGGTGCACGTTAAACAGTGTCCAAAATGTATGGTATAAAATAGTCGTGCTGTGTGCGGAGGAAGACCTTCCAGTTGGTGGTACAACAATGACCTTTGAACAAGTGACCATAAAATCAATAGGAATCTTCCCTTCCCTACGTAAAAGAGACCTTGGCGATATTTTGTTCGTTGTTATATTGAAAGTCATATTATGGCTCAGTTAACTTTTGATTTAGTGATCACAAACTCAATATTAAGTCTCCGTCTTCCTAAGGATGAGGGACTTACTGTTATAAAACACTATGGTCATCACCGCCTACTCCGTGTTCCCGTGTCCTCATGGTTACCTACAGCAGCAAGGTGCACGTGAGGTTGTGAGCGTATGAGTGTTGTGTAGTGTATTGTGATTTCAACCTTGCCCCTGTGTGAGAGTGTGAGGCCTCCTGTACACTGAATCAGTAACTGGGGCAGGACTAGGGACGGCTACACTCATCCACCTGAATCATACACCTAACAAACAAATCTGTACACCAACCCATGGAGCTTTTACGATACAATGCCTCTAAAGCGGATCGGGTTACCGTATTCTCTAAGGTTCAGAGGTTAAGTTTTCACCCTAAATGGAGATTAAAGAACGCATCTTATTGGTTCACGTAGAGAATATGGCTCGCAGCTGAGTGGGCTGAACCAGCAACACTTAGGACAGAGGACAGCGCTGTATACTCGACTGCACCAACTTTGAAGTTTCATAAGGATGTCACAGTTCCACTTTGGTGGATAGACCAAAATTAACTTAAATATTATAACTTATGACTTGGTTTCAGAGGAATAAAGATGTTTTAATGTAAGTCTCATACTTTCTTGGGGAATCTTGTACCATAAGAAAACGTCACTTGTTTTAGAAGGATTATGCCGGTAATTACACGATTGTGTGGTTGTGTGGTTAGAGAGAGAATTACGTATCTTCAGAGGAAATTTATTAATTAAATAAGGAATTTAATCAAGGCAAAGTGAATCCAGTGATTATTAACAAATGTAACACCACGTAGAAATCTAGACTTTTAAAGGGAATCGAACCCTGCTACAGTTACAGGTGTGCCGCTCGTTAGGGTTCCCAGACGAGAGATGATCCTCCCTCATTAGCATTGCAGCAGCTCACTCTACCTGTCACTTACGGTCGTCAGGGGGAAAAGCTCTGTCTCATCCCGGATAAATATAACACTGCGTTGCCCTGGTTTGTCTTCCTCGCCCCGTGATAATTTATTGGTGTCAAAACATAAAATTTTCTTAACCCCCAGACTTTTCTTAGCACTGTTTTGACTCCCCACCCCCAAGGATTGCCGTAGCGCTGTATTGCCCTCGGTCAGTCCTACCTACTCTCATTCATTATGAAGACTCAACATAACACTGTCTTGCCCCAGTCGTCCTTTTTTAAGATACCAAGACAAAGGTCAGGGGTAAAATCAGGTCAAGTGGGATTGGCCGGTGGTGAAGGTCAAAAGTGTATCACCTGTTAGTGAAGGATTTAAAAAAAATTAAATTGTGCGATTGTTTAATCTCTTAGTCTTATTGTCCATTAAGTTTAATTCTCCCAATAACTGGATATATGAGATCGCAACGAGCTGATTCAAGCAACAACACGAATATGGATTCTCAAATAATGATACGCTAAATTTATCTCCTTGCTGGTACTAAGAGAACAAATTTAACCGCCTCAGATAAGAAGCAAAACATAAAGATGAATTCCCAAAGCTTCTTATGTTATATTTCTCTCCCATATGTGATGCTAGGAGAAAATGTATAACTGGCTTACTTAGTTACAACACGGCGAGGAATTCTTGAAGGTTCTAACATTACATTTTCCCCTAACTGGTGCTATGAGAACATGTCTAAATTTACATTGAGACACTACTGAACTATATGGGAATATAATCTAAACTATTCTAAACTGATCTAAGCTAACCTAACAAAACTTAACTAACCTAACCTAATCTAACCCAACCCAACTTTAACCACCCACGATCTCTAAGAATAGAACACCTTAGTTAATTTATATGTTATCCACACCCAGGTATACCTTTACCTTCACTTCCTTTCACCCAATCACACCTCCTATACAGCCTACACTCGTGCAAACCTATACATACACCCATTGACATTTCCACCTACACCATTTCCACTCATGTTTACCTCTAGCTACGCCCATGTATAGTTCAATCTATACATTTACACCCATGTACACTTTTCTCCACACCAATCCTCATCGTTTACATTCAGTTATACCTGCACCTACACATCTTTTTGCACCACATACGCTCACCAACAACCATGTACACCACCTAAATCCACCGACATGCATACACACTATACAACGTCCATCTACACCCACTAATATCCAAGTACAGCGCCTACAACCATGTACTGTACACCACCTACACCTTTTATCATCCATGTACACCACCTATCATTATCCATGTACACCACATACACCTACCATCATCCGTGAACACAACCAATCATTATCCATGTACAGCACCTACACCTTTCATCAATGTACACCACCAGTCATTATCCATGTACACCACCAATCATTATCCATGTACACCACTTTCATCGTCCATGTACTGGACACCACCTACACCTAATTGCAACTTTGTGTTGTAAACCTGTACAGTATAGCTAGGATACCTTGGTGGTGATGAAGACCTGTACAGTGCAGTCAGGTAAGAGTGTTCGTCTCTCTCTCTCTCTCTCTCTCTCTCTCTCTCTCTCTCTCTCTCTCTCTCTTAATCTAATTCCTGACACCTTCCCTTACCTGACTTTCCAGATATACTCTCTCTCTCTCTTAATCCACCTAATTCCTAACACCCTCCCTCACCTGCCTTTCCACATATACAATACTCTCTCTCCCTCTCGCCCAACAAACTAACCTTAGAAAACGTGTTAAAAAACAATTCTAAAAAACCATTGTTATGGTTACGTGAGGCGTGTATATGTGAAGCCTGTGCTATGTAGGTCAGTAAAATACAACCTTTGTTATTTAGACACAGTGTACAGTAGTTGACGCATTTGCATTCAAAACTTTTATACATGACACCTTTGTGGTCTTTTTTCTGGTCGTTTCTCCAAAATGTATCGTATCTGGTAAACCTTCTACTTGGAATAATTTGACCTAGAATATTTTGCAGTTGTCGCTAGTATCTAAACCTTTGTATTTGAATCATTTGACTAATTTATATCTGAAACATTTGATCTAACTTAAACCTCAACATACTTCCTAAAATTACTATAAATTAAACCCCCCATACTTGCTAAAAATTACTATAAATTAAACCCCTCATACTTGCTAAAAATTACTATAAATTAAACCCATCATACTTGCTAAAAATTACTATAAATTAAACCCCTCATACTTGCTAATAATTAATATAAATTAAACCCCTATAACTTGGCCAATATTGTTCTAAATCGAACCCGTGAATCCACCCCTAATATCGGGAGTTGAGGTGAACGCGCCACTTTAACTAGTGTGAGCGAGGGCTGGCCTTATTTTATTCATGGCCTTGTCCTGGTGGTGTCCCGCCTTTACCCTCCGCTGGCCTTTGTCTTGCTACTAAGGCCTTATTGTACCACTATGGCCATATTGCTACAACTGCCATCATCTTTGTGCCATTAACGTCATCGTTGTACCATTAATTCCTTCTTTGTACCATTAAGGTCATCTTGTATCATTAAGGTCAACTTGTACCATTAACGTCATCGTTGTACCATTAAGGTCATCTTGTACCACTAAAGCCAGGCTGATAGCACTGTCAAACACACCTATCTCACACTAAACATCTGTATTACACAACACATTTGCCTTACACAACACACCTGTCCTACACATTTGCCTTACACAACACACCTGTCCAACACATTTGTCTTACACAACACACCTGTCCAACACATTTGTCTTACACAACACACCTGTCCTACACATTTGTCTTACACAACACATCTGTCCTACACATTTGTCTTACACAACACACCTGCCCTACACATTTGTCTTACACAACACATCTGCCCTACACATTTGTCTTACACAACACATCTGTCCTACACATTTGTCTTACACAACACACCTGCCCCACCACATTTGTCTTTAACACACCTGTCAACTTTGTTTGTCTTCACACAACACACCTGTCCTACACATTGTCTTGCAACACATCTGTCCTACACACATTTGATGTAACACCCATTACATCTGTTAAACAACACATCTGTCCTACACATTGTCTTACACACAACACATCTCAATCACACACATTTGTCTTAACACAACACATCTGTTAATAACACACCTGTCCTACACATTACATCTTACACAACACATCTATCCTACATTTGTCTTACAAGCACATTTGTCTTACACCCAACATCACCCACCTACACATTGTCTTACACAACACATCTGTCCTACACATTTGTCTTAACACAACACATCCTGTTCAACAACACATCTGTCTACACATTTTGTCTTACACCTTATTTGTCTTACACAACACATCACACTTTCACACATTGTCTTACACCCAAGCACATC